CCAAAAAAGTTCAATCTGGTCCTCTGGACATTCAAACAAACAAAAAAAAAAAACAAGCAAAAAAATATAGAAACGTTTCATCTCTCATCCGAGAGTACTCTCGGATGAGAGTTTCTATATTTTTTTTCCTTTGTTTTGTTTTTTGTTTGTTTGAATGTCCAGAGGACCAGATTGAACTTTTTTGGATTTTTCTACCTGGATTATTGAGCATGCATCAGGTTAAAAACAAATGCTTAAAAGTATATTTTCCTCAAATGATTGGGGTGGCCAAAATTAATGTACGGTGGACAAGGCCCCCTGGTTCCGCCATGGCACCTAATGGCTGTCAACTACAAATATTCACTTCAAATCCCTGAGTGACGGGATGTGTTACTTTTAAACGCCAAATTTGCCATTTTCAGTTTCTGTGTCTTGTTGCTAAATTAATAGATCAGCTCTTGTTGGAAATGTGTTCATTATTTAACAATTCGTTATAGAAAGGTATTTTTCTGAGTGAGAACCACCCCCCAAAAAACACAAATAGGTCTAAAATCTCACTTAAAAATATCAGCCAGGTTGTGTGAGAACATTTCTGATAAAGTGACCCTGTATTTCCTCACAGCAGCTCAGGAAAGTTGTGTCCTTGTTTCCTTGGTACTGCCAGGAAGTGACTTTCACTTTTATCACTTAAGAGCTTGCCTTAAGAGAAGAATTACAGTGAGTCATCAGATTTAACGTGTTAAGATCTGCTGCGTGGAGTACTTTTCTTTTAGAAGACTCAACAGTAGCTCAGGTTTCTGGCGTAGCCTCCTTTTTCATCTCACCAGAATGGCGTCAACCTACATTTTATGTGGCAGATGAATAATCTACTGTATGTGTCACTTTCTTTACAGAAGATTAATAAAGGTGTAGGTGTGCGTCACACAAGTGTTTGCACTTGTGAGCAAAAGAAAAGATGTTTTCTTCTTGTCTAAAAACCTTCATTCAGAGCTGAATTCAATTGCGCATTTTCGGTTGTGAAGTCAAACGTTAAAAAGCTTTTATTGGCGTTTATTGTCTTTTGCGAACGATCTTCCACTCTGAGTTTACAGCTCGTCACATCAGTTCACTGTTTTAACTCCGGAAGTATCCAGCTCTGCATCTTATTCTTCCTCCAAGTGACACAGCAACACTGACAGCATCCTCTGTTTTTTTATGCGTTGTTTGGCCAAGATACCACCGGAGATGGTTCGACGAAGGCGTTGCCATGGAAACCACACTGTGCCTGTTCACAAATAGCAGCAGAAGACAGAGCGAGGTGTTTGCATGAAATCCCAGAGTATTTCCAGTGTCGAGAGTCTCGTGGCTCGAATGTAATGAGTTTTTACTTCTTTTGGAGAGTTTTAAACATTTATTGCTTTCATTCATAAATATAATTTGTATTAGTGGACACTTTAAAGCAATTCTTTGCTGCCTAAATTATTTTCTTTGCTATTTAACTGTATTTTATTGTCTAGATAGCTTTGTTTTTTCTAATCAAGATAAAAAAAATCAAATGTATAAAGATCTTGGTATGTTCTGACAATATATCAAGCTTTTTTATTTTCACTGTAAACATATGGACCTTTTATCATATAAGATCACACATAAACAATGTGTGAATATCTTGTTTTTCTAAGCAAAGACTTTTATTGCATAAACACACAGTCACAAAAACAAGTAAAACTGGAGAAATACTCATGAACACTATCTGTCTAAACAGAACTAAGCATGAAGTCATAAGAAAATAAATAAAAACTAGAATATCAGGATTTATTTGAAAAACAAAATGTAGTTTCACCTGAGAATGATCATCATCATTTACTTTAATAAAAAGACAAATCAAAGCTCTTTATTGTGTTTTAGTTGGAATTTGCTTCCATACCTCATTTCCATGTTTAATTAATGTATTTCTTCATAACACATCAAGGTTCAAGGTTTATTATCATTCGCATCACATGTTGCACATGAGGTGGAAGGAAATTGTGAACTCAAGGTCCCAGTTACACATAAAAATAGAAAAATATAAACTATAAAAAGAAACAGCATATCTGGATCTAAAATATATGCCTTTTTCCCCTTTCTTCTTCTTCTTTCGGCTGCTCCCTTCTTCAGGGGTCACCACAGTGAACTAAGTCACACAAAGACTTGACAATTATTTTTACGCCGGATGTCCTTCTAATGTAACCACAGACCACCGAGCTACCACAGTCCTCTGTGTGGAGCAGAGAGCTGCTATCTAGGATGCCCAGGGAAGCAGGTTAAGGGTTTTGCTCAAGGACCCAGAGTGGGGCAAATGAGGGTGGAGACAGGTTTGGGTGCTTCACCAATCTCACCCACACTTTGATGTTGTCGGTACTGGGAGTTGAACCAGCGATCTTCAGAGCACAGGCTCACCTTCTCTAACCTCTGCGCCACCACTCACCATATCTAAGATATATGCTAAACAATAATAATAATAATATAATATAATATGGTCGGGTGTATTAAACAGCAGCCTGAACATGAGTCTGTTGTGAGTAGATGGGTAAGAATACTCAAGCAGCTTAAGGGTAAGAAATCAGCAGCATGGATAAGTCACATATTACCAATTAAAGTTGAATTACAATAATATCTCTGGTTAGATATTCATGAGTCTAACAGTCTCAGGGTAGAAGCTGTTCCTCAGTCTAGTGGTTCTACACTTAATGCTCCTTAATCTCCTGCCTGAGAGGAGCGAGGCAAAAAATGTGTGCTGGGTGAGTGGGGTCCTTCATGATGCAGGTGGCCCTCTTCCTGCATCTGGAGGTGTAAATGTCTGTGATGGTGGGGAGGCTGACTCCAACAAACTTCTGTACAGCCTTCACCACTCTCTGCAAAGGTTTTCTTTCTGCAGCTGTGCAGCCTCCATGCCACATGTTGATGCTGGGCACAGGATGCTCTCCACTGCACACCTGCCGCGCATTGTGCACATGTTAGCATTGTGACTGTTTCACGTTTTCTTGACTCTAGGTTGTTTAATTTAATAGAACTAGCTTCAGATGTGAAATCTAACTTGTGGACAGTTCAATCAGATGAGTATTCAGAAAGTCACTTTCTTTCCTCAAATTTTCTCTCTTTCTTTGATATATGATGTTACTGAGACAAATTAGAATATTTTTATTCAATAAGAATCATTGTAAATTGATGAAAATCTTTCTAGTTGGTTATTGTCAGGTTTAAGCACCATTTAATCACTAAGAGACTGAAAAATCAGCCTGCAGTTTTTACTTTAGGAAATAAAATTAGTGTTTTCATTGTTTCATTAATGAAACAAGTTAAATTTGACAGTACTGGAGTTACAGTACTGTCAGGACAAACTAAACCACTAATTTCCTGATATTCTCTCCTCATGTTACAGTTCATGCAAAGTTTTGTGTGAAAAAATTGTAGAAACTGATTGAAAAGAAATATTTGTCTCTTGATGCACATTATCTCAATGTCATGACGTTTGTCCTGCCAAGCTTTAACTCTTGAAAGCTGCACATCTGATTTTTTCATTGTCATAGATTTTCTTAAAAAAAAAAAAAAACTATTCAGATCAAATAAAATCAATAAAAAGTATTTAAAACAGCCAGAGTTGACCAAAGTGCTGCACACAAAACAAAGCATAAAAACACTATCCAACAAAATAACCTAAGAATTTTAAAGTTATGATTAAAAACCCATGAAAATGTTACAACATTTCCTAAAATACTAAATAAAAGGAACAGAGATGTGCCCTAATCCATGAGGAGACATAATCTGGAGTTTGAGTTGGAGCAGAGAAAGTCAGGTGATAAACTCCTCACAGTAAATGCCCTGCGGGGTAAAAACCCAAAGATCGTGACAGCTGCCTGTTGTATTATTTCCTCACTTTAATTGACCCTCTACTCACTCTGCGTTCCTCTTGTCCAGCTGTTGTATTGACGGAGCCCTCCGTGTCTTGCAGGGGCGTGGTGCGAGTGGACGTTAATCTACAGGATGTTGACATCGACCAGTGCTCCTCTGACGGCTGGTTTGCAGGAACCCATCGATGCAACCTGACCACCATGGAGGTGAGTGCGCCGGACATGTGGCTCAGAAACAGATTGATCCTCTCTTTAAAAGTGAACCATAATGGACACCCCATCAGTCACCTCCTGACTCCCCATGAACCACTCAAAGGAAAGGCAATAAATCTGCATGACTCGTGACAAAACAGATGGTGATCTGATTATGCTAACTGAGCTGATCTTTTAGATTTATGAGCATGTTTCCCATGCATGCAACACAAAAGGTGTCATATATCAGTCATACTCCAACTTTAATAGTAATTAAGGTTTTGGTGCAGAATTAGTTGGTATATATTTTCCACCAAAAACGTTGCACCGCCCTATAAGTCACATGAGCTCAAATATGTCTTATAAAGTGGAAAAATCCATGAATATGTTGCATCTAATATGCATCACTGCTGACAACCGGGAAATGTGGGTCGATGTTTCGCCAATAATTGATTGGCTGCCAAATGGTGGCCGCGGGAGGACTTTAACAAGAATTTAATAAGATTAACACTTAAAAACAATTATTTGTTTGCTCAAAATTATAGTAAAGGTGTGTCTCAGTTTAACTTTTGCTTAATAAATGCACTTTGACAATCAAATCAGCTGCATTTCCAAAAGCCGATACGCGGAAACGAACGTGCAGAGCAATGACTTGCTGTCCATTTATTTGAAATTTAACAAGATAACAACCTAAAAACAATTATTTGTTTGCTCGACATTATAGTAAAGGTGTTTCTCAATTTATCTTTTACTTAATAAATGCACTTCAATGTCAAATCAGATGTATTTCGCTGAGGCGGTGCAGCGAAAGGAATCTGATTCGGTTGCTCAAGGCAGACGACGGTGGCACGCTTTGGCCAGCCTATTGTGTCATTAGTAGCCACTTTTACCTATTACATGATACAATGGCATGCCTTACTACTCGAGTGCCATCTAGTGGCTGAAAATGGTAGTGTTCAAAATTTTCAGTCAGATTGAATGAAAATGGTCATATCTCAGCCAAAATTTGGTTTGGAAATATGGGGGGGGGGGAAAAGCCATAAATATGTTGCTTTGGCCTATAAGTCGCAAGGCATGCAAACTATGCAAATCACTGTGATTTATAGGCCGAAAAATACGGTATGTCCTTATACATGAATTCTCAAGTGTCAAGTGTTTGGATCCCCTGTGAAGTTCTTTGAATGGCTGCGCCTCGTCTCAGTTGTTTCCTCTGTCAAGGCTGCATTGTCATGAAAAATGATGTGTTTGTGTGTTGACACTGAATGCACCAGTTTGCGTGAAACCAGGCTTGACAGATGGGCCAAGTAATTTTGTCCTCATTAAGCAACAGACTGAGCAGTAGACTGTAGACTGAACAGGCTTGTTCAAGTCTTTTGTTTCCTGAGTCAAAACACAGATGTAAGTAAAAAAAAAAATAACTAATGATAATTGAAATGGAAGTTTAGAGGACATGTATTTTACACAAGTAGAGGGGGAATAAAGCCATGATGGTCTTTTTATAAAAGTATCTTAATGCCAGCAAGGCTTGTTGTTCTTGGACAGGATGATAAAACTATCAGCAGTTATTTTCAGGAATTAAATTAAATTGTTTACTTAGTTTTTTGCCCCACCAACTGCTGATGATATGATCCATATTTCATCGTACGTGGCAGCAAAGAAACTGCTTTTGATCTTGATGACCTGAATAGATATGACGAGTAGAAAGTTTGAGTTTCCGTTCAGAAATATATGAAGTTCAGTTAGAATGGAGACTAAATGAATTCTCAAATCTCTTTCTAATGATCTTGTTGCAAAATACTTTTTCAAGCATCCTTGGTATTTTTGTTGGTTCAGCTAAAACAAGAAGTTTGAACAAATCTGCAAGAATTTGCTTTGTGTTGGCAACAGGGGCGATTATAGCATCTGACCTTGTAGCCCTCAGTGCTGTCAATGGCTCTTGTCTTGAACAACACAGTGGTCATTAGCATCAGAAGCATGTGTAAAGTGGGGGGCACACACTGGTGGGGGGGCTCTGGGGGTCCTTCCCCAGAAAATTTTGAATAAAGTACATGCCATTTCCTGCATTTGGGTGTATTTTAACAGGTTTTACAATATCTACGTTGACTTACATAAGTAAACATTTTTTACAGAGCATAACCAACAAGACGTAGCGCTAAGCTAGCAGCGCGCAATACAGACGTGCTAGCTAAGATGCTACAGATATAGCGCTCTGCTTTACATTACACAACCTAATAAGCGCTTTGTACAAACTCAGTTTAGTGTTAACTCATAACAAACAAAGACTAAACTTATGCAACAGAAGTTGTAACATACAAAACAAAGCACAGCTAGCTTTAAGTGTTAACCTTTAATTTAACCACTAAGCATATAATGCAATTATGACAGAAAATGGAGGATTTACTTGCAGTGACAAATATGTGGTACTTCCTGTTTATCATTAGCCCTATTCGCACGGGATTAGTTTTACCTAAGGACCAGTGTAATCTCCCCAACGTCTGCTTTTTATGTGGCACATTTGCATGGGATAACCAAAGTCTGAGATTTAGGTGACATTTACGGACGTCTTCCTGTTATGATGTTAACGCGCTGCGTTGTCACGACCAGGTCGGTCCATATAACGTGTTTAATTTACTTGAGGAGGAGGCTGGTCAGACTGGCCTGTTTAAAAGTTAAAAACAAAAAAAGCCACGTTAAACTCAGATGGTCAGCTGGCACCAGCTGTGCACGTGAGCGGCCAGTGACAGCTGACCCGCTTGTTGAAATGGATTTTTGACCTGTCCAGGGTGTCCCTCGCCTCTTGCACAGTGATGGCTGGACACAGGCATCAGTGACTCTCGCTACTGTATGTATGGATGGGTCAGTTGCACACGTGCGTCTCTGCACCGCCTGTCATCTCTGATCAAGGAAGTAGCAGCTCATAAAAGCTCAAGATAAAAAGAAACATACAGTATTTAACGACCGACCAGTTTAAAGAGGGGAAAAATGCCACATTAAACTCAGATGGACAGCTGTCACCGGCTGTGCTCGTGAGCAGCCGCGTGTCCACTGACCCGCCAGTTGAAATGGACTAGAGACCTATCCCCCACCTCTCACACAATGATGGCTGGACATGGGCACCCGTGACTCCCGCTAACCAAAAAGGAAGAAGCAGGTATGGATGGATGGGTCAGTTGCACGCATGCATCTCTGCACCTCCCGTCATCTGCGGTGAAGGAAGTAGCAGCTCATAAAAGCCGAAGCAAAAAAGAAAAATACATAAAAAATCATTTTAAAATAATTTAACAAGCCGAAGCGAGCAGCGCGTTCATTTAAAATAGCCTTGTTCTATATTTTTCCAAATGATTTTGCTTAAACAAAAACAAAAAATGCCTCATTACATGTCGGATCCCGCCCATTTCTGTCCAAATCACAGGGATGCCTATTCGCATTGGATTATTATTATCACAGGGCCTCGGAGTTCAGCAAAATATAGTAGGTCATTTTCACTTTACGAATTACTGACATGGCAAATTTGCACGGGATTAAAAACACAGACAATCTCCGTAATTATTATAAATAGCATGTGGTCCCTAGGTAAAACTAATCCTGCGCGAATAGGGCTATTGTTGTATTCAGCTGCTCATGAGGATGGCCAGAGGGCTTTATCATCTTTTATATTTTTCCAGAGATGGTTTAGGAATTGGAAATGGAATAAACTGTATTCCACCCAAACGCTCAGGGTAACGTGTCTGAATTATTTAAAAATCTTGTGTGGATCTGTGTATGTAATAGAAATAAATGAAAAAAGGTTTGTAGGCTCAATCATCCAGGTAGATAACAAAAAAAAGTTAAATCATGTCATCTGGACCAGTTCCCTTAAAGAAATTGGTCCAGATGACGATTTAACCCTTTTTTTCTAGAAATAAATGAAGGATTTACACAATAATGTTAACCAACAGCCTCACTTAAGTGTGAAAATAAGTAGTTTAAAGATCTACAGTACATTGAGTTATTTTAAAGATTATGCTAATCAAACTCATACAAATTCCCCTGTTCACTCACTTGGAGCACTTTGAACTTTACGTGACAGAAAGAGAAGGTCCATTCCCTGTCATATTTATGATTTATTCAGAAATTATGGGGGGATGTACAAAGTATATTGTAAGTCTTAGAGAGAAAAATGTACAGGTAATTCAAAATGCTTTACTAAAGGTATGAAATAAAATAGATCCTGGAAACTACAATAAGTGTATTTCCTATTTTTTTGTTGAAAGTAGTCCTTACATATACGTTCAGATTTTCAAAAATGGCACACTCACACACACACGCACGCACGCACGCACGCATGCACGCACACACACACACACACACACACAAAAGGATTTTTGAGCAACAGACTCATTAACAACAAAAAATACCCAAAAGATCTGTTATTTTCTTAACAATCTCAACAAATATGAAGGTCTGATTTGGAGAATTTGGCCTTGCTGTGTTTTAGCCCCGCTTCATTTAGTTTAGCCTCTGTCTGCTTGTGGTGGATCAGTCATCCCCAGCAGCAGCCTCCGTCTGACTTCAGGCTGTCTGCACGCCTGGCTGCTCAAACAGCGGCATGTTAAGCAGAATACAACGAGCCACGGAAAGCTCGTCTGCCAAAAAAACAAACGCCTTTTTGACTAATTCAGGTGTGAAACAGTGGCGTTTGAAACCATTTGTAAAATTCAACAAGGAGCGTGTGAAGAACAGAAATCGTAAAAGCATGTAAAAGTGGAGAATGAATTAAAGCGAGAGAAAGTGTCAATAATTAAATAAATCTTCTAATACTCATGACTTCACCACACATGTAGCCTGTTCAGTAATTGTTTTATCACCTCTGGTTGAGCACTTAATCAAAACGTCTAGAATAAATACGGCTTATTGTAACTCCTTTTAGCACAGATTAATGGTACATGTGTAAATCATAAACTAGAGCTATAAAAACAGATTAGGAGGTGGCCAAAATCATTGCTTCTGTTTCCCTCTGATGTTTACAGATGTGA